CATTCTCTGAACTTCATGGATAACCAATTTAATACGTGTGTAGTCCACATATAGCAACTGATCTTAAATCCACACAACTTGTTGAGAAGACCATTTAATAGATATTTACACTTCAGTAATACCAGAAGTATTCTTTAGTATAAGTATCTCTATTGTTGAAACATCAAGGCTGACACCCTTGACTCAACCAGCCTATGACTTCCTCTGCTGATAGAACCCTTGCAAGTCATGAGTGGTGAAAATAAATCACATCCCACTATTTTCTCTAAAACAGTCTTCAGCAACATGTAATACACAACAGAATAGTCCAAGCACACAAGCAACACAACTACAACATTCAGCAACCTGTAGAATAAAAACAACAACATCCCAAACAAAAATAGCATCCATATCGCAACCATCTACACTCCTACCATAGCCATACATCAAACTGTATATAGGCCAATCTTCTCCTAGGACTACCAGAGTTCTTTCCTCAAAAAAGTATGCAGCGGAACTACCCAAAAGAACAACTTCAACACGCCCTAAACAAGATGTCAAAACATCTTATAGGACATCATACAGAAGCAACCACTCCTTCTTTGGCAAAACATTCATTAGGTCACAGAAGCTCCTATATCAGAGGGCACAACAACAGATACAAATAATCCTTCAAAATCTGGAGTAAACACAAACTCCCCCAAAACTCCATAAGCAGCAGCTCAAACATTTAGCAAGATCAGCAAATCAGCTACCACTTCTCCTTGTTCAAAACACCAGAAAGTATGTCCCAAGATCTCATCCAGAACAGACAGGATGCCTGCTCTGATACCAATTGAAATTCTGGTATGCAGATCTCAGATGTCCTAAGAGATGCTAAGAACATTGATCTTTGCTAAAACAGAACAAGGACAGAACATGTGCATTTTAATTCACTTTAAAAATTAGCAATGTCGTGACATCTGCTGTAACATCTGCAGACTGACAGAACAGTTTATCTAACCATTTAAATTGAGCAGAATGTTAAATGCAGAAAGATAAGTAACTGATAGTCGATGTTATATCAGATGCTATGACATCCACTTCTGAACAGATTATTAAACTTAACAATAAACATGTACGAAAGCAGTAAAGAACACAGGAAATCGTTTACCCAGTTCGGTGCAACATCACCTACATCTGGGGGCTACCAAGCCAGGAAGGAAATCCACTATTAGCATAATTAATTCAGTCTAAACTCTCAATTTACAACTCCTCACTTAATCTCTACCCAATGCAATTTCTGCCTAGAACCTACTAGACAAGAGACACCTCTCACTCCCCCTTAATCACAACAATGATTAACAATTCAATACAAAAAGAAGACTTTAGAAGACACTCTTTAAAGTCACAATACCCTATTTTGCTTAACATCTTCAATCAAGAACAATACACTCTTGCTTAAAAGCTTTGAGTGAACAATTAACAATTAACAATATGTCTACCACAATGCATCCAAGGATACAAAGGGTGACTTACAAAGTCACACACACAAGACTCTCAAAACCCTAAACCCTTATTTTACACTCAAGTTTTTCTTGTTGTGAGTGCTTAAGTTTCCTTGCTTCTGCGCCTCCTTAAATAGTAATGCAGATTAGGCTTGGACTGGTCAAAAGTAACAGCAGGGAGAGAAGATTCCAATGTTCATAAATTGCAACAGAAATTAGGTTTAACCAAGTTAATCCAATCTCCACAATTCATGGTGCTATCAAATATGTCATAGGGTTTCATGTTATGCTCAGCACTGCCTAGAGTCTCTCCTGAGATAACTAAGGAACCCTAGCAGGTTTCCTGAAATCTAGCCTGAGATAACTCAGGAACCATAACAAAAAAACAAACATGCGCCCTTCCTGGAAGCTACCTGATGTCATAACATTCAGCATGACATCCAATACACTCTGTTCTAGCTAACCAAACTTATCCAGCAATACACTACACAAGTAAGTCATGACATCAGTCAAGACATCTACACACAGCAATGTTTTACCATAAAATGAAGCCAATCAAGAACATCTACAAACTCTCATTCTTCTGCTGAATCTTCTTCATAACAGTAGAAACAAATATATTATAGTTTCCTAAAAGGTCTCAAAGATCCTTTTTATGAACACCAATTAAATATGCACTTTGTTCCAAATAAATCTCTTTGACTGCACATACTAATGAGGTATATCCAACAGGATCTCATCAAACCAAAACACCTCTGTCAAGAGATATAACATAGAAGCTCCTACTGTACCAGACAAAGATGTCATGACATCTGTCTTGACATCTTGATTAAAACACATGACAGCAGTTCTGTCTTGACAGTAGATGAAGATGTTATAACATCTTGCTTAACATTAGTGTAGAATCATGTTTTACCAAAATTTAGTCAATCATAGAACCATGGACAATCATAGAATCATGGAACTAACACAACCTTATAGGATATGATTACACACATTTAATACAAATATGGAAAAACAAGCGTAGTTGCTGATGCACTTTCCCACATTTTAGAGGCACCCTCAGGTACACCTCCCCCCCTCTCTCTCTCTGTACCTCATTTTATCTTCTGAGAGCAACTCAAACTAGCATTGGCTACTAGCACCAAATTCACATGCTTATACAACATGATTGCACAACACCAATCCATGTTTCTCGAATACAAGATACACCAAGGCCTCATTTTATATGAAAACTATATTTGACTCAATTCCTCGGATTCATTCTGCAATGGCTTACTTGACTAACTCCATAGTTTACCATTTGCTGGACACATGGGTTTCACTAAAACCCTTGCCCGCCTACGAGCAATTTTTGGTGGCAAGGAATGTGAAACCATGTCAAACAATTTTTCAAAAATTGCCTCATATGCCATCAAGTTAAGTACTAAACCAAAAAGACACTCGGCCTCTTATAATCCCTCCCTATTCATCATGCCATTTGGGAGGATATTTTCCTTGATTTCATCATTGGCCTACCCCTTTCAAAGGAAATAATGTCATTCTTGTTGTGGTTGATCACCTTTTAAAAGGTGTTCATTTAGCTTCTCTAGTTCTAAACTATACCGCTCACAAAGTTGCTTCCATCTTTTTTAACAATGTCTGCAAACTGCATGGACTACCTCGTTGTCTCATTTTAGAGCAAGACCCTTTATTTATCAGTTAACTCTGGCGAGAGTTGTTCTCCCTATGTGGAACCAAGCTACCCATGAGCACGACTTACCATCCAGAAACTGATGGCCAAACCGAGGTTTTTAACAGAGTTTTGGAATAATACTTTCGATCTTTTGTGCCCCTCAAACCTTCTCAATGGTCCAACAATCGTTCCCTAGCTGAATGGTCTCACATCTACCCACTCATTGACTGGACTCACACTATACCAAATAACATTCGGAAAAGAACCACCATCCATCCCTCAATATATCCAAGGCCATTCCTCCATTGAAGTTGTTGACTCCCTCCTAGTTAATAATTAATGACTCATCACTAAGTTATGTGTCAAAAATACTCAAGGCACAATATGAAACACTTTGCTGACAAAAATAGAATTGACATTGATTTTGTTGAAGGGTCCTTTGTATACGTTCACGTTCGTCCATATCGTCAAAAAAACAACCACTGATACATCTTACACCAAGCTTTCCAAGCGCTTTATGGCCCTTTCAAAGTCCTCCAGAAAATTGGAAAGGTAGCTTACCGCCTAGACCTCCCTCCCAACTGCAAAATTCATTCTGTTATCCACTACTCCTTCCTCAAAGTTCACCACGGTCCCATACCATCAACCACCGCAATACCACCTCTTGCAATAGACAACCACCTGTTAGCACACCACTATCCATCCTTGACACAAAACTTGATTCAACTGCAGACCCTCCCTAAAAATGGAATTAGTTCAATGGTCGGAATTGACACCAGAAGACACAAGTTAGGAATCCTGGGACTCCCTTTGTTCTGTTCACCACCTTGAGGGCAATGTGTTCTTCCAAGCACAAGGGGATGTTAGCAACAACAGAAACACAAGTCCAGAAACAATAGCAGTAAGAAATCCCAAGAGAATCACTAGCAGGCCTAAAAGGTTGGAAGATTTTACCTAAAGTGTAGTCTCTCTCCAAGATGACTTACTCACAAAAAGAAGAATAAGAAGCTTCTAAAAGTTGCCATAAGATTATCCGCTCTTAGAATTGCGGATCTATTATTGTACTAAGTCATTAAATTTTCTATACTCTCTGGCTTTATGAAGATTGAATTATCATGAATGTAGCATATCAGAAAATTAAAACCTTATCTCTTTCTCTAAATTCTTATGGAGGATATCCTTGTCCTATCAATTGAAGAAAAAACACCTAACAATTGCTTTCCTCGACAAATCTAAAGATGTCAAGTACTTCAGTCACAGAACAGGAACCATGTGAAATGATTTGGTTATTCAGCAGAAACTTTGGATTACCACAAAAATGTATGAGAAACAAAAGGAAAGAAAACAAGAAACAAGTCCATTTGTAAGACTAATTAACTCAATATTTTCTAATTACTTTTTGACACTTTAAAAAGATAATACCTTCAAAACAAGACAAAAGCACCAATTATTAATTTTTACTCATTAACAAGTTTGAATTGATTGTGCATTTGACAAAACATGGTAGAATTGTAATTTTGTTGAAACTCTAAAATTTATCGAAATCACAATGGTATATTGCAATTCTGTCGAATTCATCGTTAATTCAAACATGTTTAATTCTTTCATGTGTTTCCGCATCTTTTATTGCTATATCCATGTAAAAACCACACGTTTTGTATGATAATTGAAGTAACATTGTTCTTTGTTTCCATTAGAAATAAAATGTATATATACCTAACAACTCGATTGCCCCAAGAATTATGAGATTTTTTGCTAACAAACAAATATCTTTGGTTGGCCGGTTGACTATAAATAATTTGAGCAAATTACTTCAACATAGATTCTATTTCTTTCTATGTAAATATGTATACAGACATTTAGAAATCAATGATGGGTTCTCCAACATTTAGATTCCTTTCAATTGTCCATGGTAAGTCGAAGAGTTTTGCAGTGATGAACTTGAAGATCTTGTTCACGTTGATGTTGTATGTTGCACTTGAAAAGAACAAAGTGGCATTCAATGCCTTTGCATATGTTCTTGCCTGTAATAACAATATTCAGTGTTCCATGTCATGATCATACATAAAAAAATCTTATCTTGATGACATCAAAATCTTTTAATTGCTTAACTTGCTTCTAAAGAAATGGGTATGTGTATGGGCAGGCTAGGCTTGTCTGCCTTAGGTTGAATGGTCATCAAACATGCCCTGTCTTCTTATAATGGTTTATGGGGGTCCATATTTATAGGATTTGCATTTCAATAAATTCAAGCATTCATAAAAACAATAGACACATTTATACATAAGTTTAGATAGTGTGTGTAAGATGTGCTAAAATACATAATCTCAAATTTGTTAGTTAAATTGCGGCAAAATAAACTTTCGTAATGAGTTTATCAGAGCGAATGATTATATAAGATATCTAATTATTTCGTTATGGCTGAAAATCATTATCAACCTTAATAGGATTTCCAAAAATTTAAGATAAATATAATCATAAAGATGATTGTAACTTTATTAAATTTACAGTGATTTCACCTTGCCCTCAATAGATAAAATGAAAATTCCGTATTCCACCATAGAATCAATAAATTTGAGGGAGACCAATCTCATCGTTCCTTTATAATAAAACTCTGAATGAGATTGAAATATCACAGAAATTGTTAACATCTAACAAAAATTCTTAACATTTAAGAGAATCTGTACTTGAAACTTTGAACATACTCTTGAATCTGAAGTTTTAAGCGAGATATCATTAAGGAGGTTTCAATAGGCCAAAATTAATGATTTTGTCAACCTGGATGGGATCCACAAGTGGAACCAGTGTGCATTATACAGGTGATTGATTCTTAATGGAAGACTATAAGATTAAAATCATCTTCAATATGACTACCCTACAAAGAAATCAATAGTGTCACCAGGTAACGTGTAAGGAAAATAGGGGTTTCTTTATATATTGTCTGCTAAGAATCCTATCAATCCCTTTCACCTGAGTGGACGTTGCAACCGAAACCAATATTTTTACATTTTCCAGTTTCATAATCATATAAAAATCAATCAATAAATATTAGTAAATTAAGAAGTGTCTATTTTGAAGCATATTCTAAAAAGTGTTATTTGGTGCTTATTTATTCACCTTTTTCTCAACAAAGCATAAGCAAAATTGATTATTACCTCACTAGCGATTGTCCATTGCATATCAATAGGTAGCTGAATGAAATCGTCAAATTTTGTTCCTATCAACACTGGTATTGCAGTCTACAAAAGTCAAAGCATACATCATCACTATTGACCAAAATTTAATCCCAATCAATTTAAAAACCTAAATTTAGTGCTAAAATCTATGTACCTGATTCCATTTTCTTGCTTCTTTGTACCATCCCACAACACTGAAAATGAAAAACATGATATTTCATTTTCAGATTAACAATTACTAGCTTCTGAAAAACTTTAACCAAAATGAAAATAAAATTGACATCAGTAAATTTACCTGTTTAATGTGCATCGACTAGTTAGATCAAACATGATCAAAATTGCCACTGAGTCCTTACATGCCATTGGAAGCTGGTCTTGCGATTTTCCATCTCCTTCATAAACATAAATACATAGTTTTGATCAATCAAATTAATTTTTGTCGCTAGATCAGTCGGTAGCTATGCAAACCGGGTCTGCTCCCTGACAAAAGAGAACATTATTTATATTTCTTTACCTTGAACTTCCCAGATACAATAGGATATACGTGCTCCGCTCACAACCATTGTTTTGTCCATATGATTTGGTCCTTTCCTCTCTTCCCTTCCCTGCTCCTTTTCATTTCCCACATATTTCACCTGCAACACATTTAAAAAAAAAAAAACAAACAAAATTAATAAAAATTTAACAACAAAAATTAAATAAAATAGTTTTTTAAATATACAATTCATTAACAAATTTGAATCCATTAATCACATTTTTCACACAATCACGCAGTTAACAATATTATTAGCAGTATGATCTTGATTCTATGGATTAGAAAACCATCAGATTTTAATCCAGAAAAATCAGACTACAACAACAGCCTGATGGGAGTAAATATGAATTCCTCATTTAGGGATTCAATTCAACAAAAAAAAAAACAATACAAACAAGATGATCTAATGATCTAATGATAGTAATAAAAACTAACCAAAAAGCTGGTTTTTCCGATTTGGCAATCACCCAACAAGCTGATTTTAAGATTAACCAAATCAGTATCCAATTCATTCGTATGAAAAACTGGCGTCGAGGCAGATTCGATGCCCGAACCCAGCGACGGAGAATGAGACTGAGACGGCAATGCTGCATGCGGTGTTAACATGCTGTAATTAGCATTGGCCCCTGGCTTCGCTCCGGAGCAGGCGAGGAAGCGGTGTAGAGCACGGAGGATGCATCTCTGGAGCACCGATACGCGGCTATTAATCCGATGGCGGAGCGTGGAGTTGTGACCGGATTTGCGACGGAACTCAGACATTTTTTTATTTCTTTTTCTTTTGTACGGAGAAAATGAGAAAATATGAAAATAAGAAAAGTGAAAGAGTGTGTAATTACGAAAATGGAATGGGATTGTTGGATGGCTTCAAGTGCAACAAGCCATGAAAATGAAAAAGGATGAGCTAGTCTAGTTTTGATTCCTAGTTTTGAAACTGTAAGGGTATCTTGGGAATTTCTGTGTTCTCTCTCTACGTTATGTTTCTGGTTTTACGCTTTGGTTACAAACTCACAACGACTTTTTTTTTGCTGAGTGAGATCACTACTTTAACTCTACGGTTGACCGTTAAAACATGGACACTGTTCATTTTCTCTATCATTTTTTGTTTGCAATTTTTTTTTTTATTTGTTTAAGATTTGTGGTTGCTTTATTTTTTTTTTTTATATTATAAATATTTTGTGGCAAGAATTATAAGTTTTTTTTGGCAACTTTTAACTGAGTTGTGCTCACCATAACTCATTATATCCCTTTTAACGTGTGTATTTTTTATAGATTTTATTTATTTATATTTTTAGTATCTTTTTAAAGTGCAATCTAATATTAATTTTTTTTACAGTAATTGCTTTGAATATTTACTGTAATGAAAGAAAACTATTGAATGAATGAATTAATTATTGTGTTATTAAAAAGACAAACGGTTGTTTTTATGTTTATTTTTATTTTTAGTGTAATAGAAAAATTATTTCTTTTTGAATTTACCATTAAGTATAATTATTTTAGTCACTTTTATATATTTTATTGTAATAAAATTTGTAATTTGGAGAAAAGAAATTTTATTAAAATTTTTCTTTTGCGTGACGTTTATTAGAAAATAGACTACCGACCAAAAATAATCTAATAAGGTATGAAATTTTCAACATTTAATCTTAGTTGTATAATTTGACGCAAAAAGGCAAAGAAAAAATTAAATTAGTCAAATAAATATAAAACGATCACTTAAGCACAATGAGTGCATAAGAAGAAATCCAATAATTTACAAAGAAAAAAATCAAAACAAAAGTTTGAATTAAGAAAAAATTTCATAATATATTACAACCTACGCAAACGGCTGAATTAAGCCACCGCATATTTAGATAATTTGTTTTTTTTAAAATTATATTTTCTTTGGGAGTGTTGTTCTTGCGTGATTAGGTATTCTTTGAGCCTTAACAAATAATTCTAGTAAGTATATCATCAAATTTTATTATCTATATGATTGTGCAAAAGAACCAATAACCACAAACTAAATTTCTATTCAAATTAATCTAAATTTTAAAATCCAGTCCAAATTTATATTTTAAATTTAATGGCTCATTTATCAAATTAAAAAAAAATCGGTAACTATTTGTTTCAAACCGGATTAAGATTCGGTAACCATTTTTCAATAAGCTTCAAAAACAAAAGTAGAATAGTTTGGGAAAATCAAGATCAACACCCCTAGTTTGTAATAAAATTGATTTGGTTTAAAGTAGAATAAATTTAAGATAGATAGTTTGCAATAAGTTTAAAGTAGAATAAGTTTCACGATTAATTGATTTATATCAATTCAACGTACTTTTCGATTAATTGATTTAATTCACGATGAAAAGGAATTATTCTAATTCCAGTTTTACATTGAGTAGTTTAAAGTTTAATATATATGGGGTGTTGATTTAATTCAATGTAAAACTGGAATAAATTGATTAATTGATTTATATCAATTATTTGATTGTTTGCAATAAGTTTAAAGTAAAATAAGTTTCAGGTGGTTTATCAATTATTTGATAGTTTGCAATAAAATTGATTTTTTTTTAAAATAGGTTTTAAAAATGATTTCTTTAAAGAAAATAAAAAACTGGTTTTGAGAGAAACTGGTTTTTAAAGAAACTGTTTTTTTTTATAAAAAAAACGGTTTGAAACCGAACAAATCCACTTGTACACCGGTTTTAAAAAAATTAATCGGTTTTATATAAATAGTTTTAAGATCCAAACCAAACCATATATGTGGTTTGGTTTATAATCCATGTACACCCCCAATTATCTATTATTAGTTTTTAAAATAAAATTTTTAGTATCTGACTTTGTAACGGACTAATTCAAGAGGATCAATCCTATCGTCCATTTATAGAGGCTATGCTTAAAGCTAGAGAAAATCTTTTATTGGACTTGGCCCAATACAGAAAATATTTAAAGTCATACCATGAGAGAGCACACTTTCATGACCCAAGCATTCTCACCCCTATGCCAACTCTTTTTGCATCTTGTATCCTTTAGTCAAAGTTCATTTTGGCCCCATAACACTAAAAAAGACTATATGAGTCCCTTGGTTATACAAAGTGAACCATATTAGTTCATTCCATCCATTTTGTTAGTCAAAGTCAGTGAATAAAACTATGTGACACTGACGTGGAAGCTCTGTGGCTTAAACCAACTTTTGTGACCAATATAGCGACATAAAAATCGATCACTAAGTGTATTTTTTAGGTTTTGATTGTTGTTATCATCTTTTTCATCAAATATATTTCCATTTTTCATATTCTTCATTTGATCTCATTCTATTATACATTATGAAATGATTTAAAAAGAATGACAACTTGCTAAAATATAATCCACATAAATGATGAATGTTATACTTTACTAACAATTCAAATCACAAACCTCACACTAAAGTTGCTTTTGTAAAATTGAAACAACAATGGCAACTAAATAAAAATAAACACATTATCTATACAACATGCTCTGTTGCGCAACCAGAAATGGTGAGAATTACGAAAACTACGCCAGAGCGAAGCTTTCGGTGCACTACATTGATGTGACACCGTGGGTTGAAGTTTACAATCATACTACTTCTTGAATCAGAGGTCTCGGTCTTGATGCGATGTTGTTGGTCTGGTGTTTATTATCTCCAAAATGATGAACCTCGAGGGGGAGTATCTGCATGGTTAGAACTCCAACGCGCAAGTCAATTTAGAGTTCAAGATAGTGGTAGTGAAAGTGGAGCTTAAATATTGTGTACCTGAAAACCCTTTACGAAGATATTTATACCTTGGGCTTCACGAGGCAAGTTGGATAATGAGCCTCTTTCTATTGGACCTTTAGCCGGTGTGGAGCAGTGGGCTTCAGGTCTTTGGATGGCATGGAACAATTGCCTCTAAGAATCGTCAAGCGTGTTTTATGCCATGGGAGCTTTCTAGTAGTCGTAGTCGGCCCTTAAGGATGTTTGTCTAAATGTCGGTCGACATACACTGCTTTGATTTTTCCAAAGCGTGATGAGGATGTGAGCATTAAATGCAATCCCATTATTAAAATATTTTTCCATTTCTCTTTTATGTGTGACCTAAAAAAGGAATGAGGTGGTGTGACATAGTGTTTACTGTGATTTTTGGTAAACAACCGCTAGTCTATCAATTTGTAATAAATTGACTAACATGCAGGATCGAACATACTAAATTCTAGAACATGTGCTAAGATTGTTTCAACAGAATGAAATCAAGAACGTAAAGTAAAAAAACGTAAATGTTGGACATGAAATACTAAGATTATTGCCAAACTCCGTGTTCGACGCAAACCCTTTTGAAATATTAAAGGACTTTAAAATAAAGATGCAAGTAAATAAATGACTTGAAGGATAACTCTAATCAGAACTCCGCGTTCGACTAGGGGATCTTTGCAACGCAAATGGGCAGAAAAATGTAAAGGGCAGTTTGAAATGTAAAAATTGAAAGTTAAGAAGGGCAAGTGAATTATAAAGACAAATTGAATTGATGATAAAAATTTTGGTGTTGTATCACGTAAATTCTCGTTAAACTCGTTTCTCTACACGCGAGTACTCAGAGTTGTATGAACTAGTACGGTAATGAATGAACACCCCTATTACATAATTTTTACATCTATTTATAGTGCTGTAAAATAACTTCTACATAGCGGTTGAGGCTTCTTTTGGCGCTAACTTCGCCTTCCTAACCGTTCCCACGTTTTACCACTTGGTTTGAATTTTGAACATTTGGAAATTTCCTCCACGTTTTGGTAAATCTTCTTTGCGCTTCCCTTGCTGTAGTCTTTGTCGAACCCTTCTTAACACTTAGCATTTTTCATCTTCTTTTCCCCTTTATTTCGACTAAAACCCCTTGATGTTGGTCGAAACTCTCTTTTGTGCCAAGCATTGATGTTCTTGTCTTCAAATAATATGATCTTCGACTAGCGTCGAAAATTAGGAGTCAACAAATTGCCCCCAAAAATTGTCCTTTCGCCAATCTTGGGTTTGGAAGGTTAGTTTTTCTTTCTTTTATTTTCGACGTGTTACTTTGCATGTCTTCATCTCAACTTCCATTCTTTGTATAGTGGCGCAACTGTTCAGTTTTCCTCATGACTTCCACTACACCACTACGTCCAATCTTAAACGTCTTTTCAGCCGTATTCATCATTACTTGTCTTAGAAACATGCGTCTATATTCTGACCATCATTTTCTACACGCCTCTTAAAACTAACACGTGTCCCACTGCTTGATCATTTTCAACGGTGGATCTCTTCCCTTTGGGATTTAGAAATACTTATAAATACCTTTCTCTACTGTTTCGTGAAATCTTTACACTCTCTTGAATTTCAAATGTTTTCTTCCTTCTCTATTCTCCTTCCTTTTTCCAGAAAACGATTTGTTTCCCTTTTCTATTGCTAACAATGGTTTCTTCTCAAACCGCTGCTCAAGAAAGGAAAATCCAGAAAGGACACACCACCCAAACAAAAAAACCTCTTCCTTCCTTCACTAACCTGGCCGGTCCTCATGTTGTGGAGAATCGTCCATGCGTTCCAGAACCTACCTCTGAGACTGCCAAGAGAATTTATCATTCTCAGGTAATGATCCCTTTAATTATTTTAGGTAAACCTCATGATATGCCTTGTCCTCTGTCCCAGGTTGACCTTTTTGATACGCAGCTGAGTGAATTTCTACCGTCTTACCAAAAAACCAGGCCTCTAGGGCAAAAAAGCTTTTCAGCTCCTTCCATCGGTACCGTTGATTCTACTT